TGTAGAACGCATGGCCATCTACTTGCTTATATATATGGCTACTGAAAGAAATCGATTCATTCAGAGAAAAGACAAATTAGAAACGAAGTGGAAGTATAATGTACGCCAAACGCTTAATTAAATTAAATTCAACTCGTATACAATCTTATTCATCACACAAATCACACGAATTTCTTAAAAATCATAATATATCTCACGCTGCTTTAGACACGAACAAGAACAAGGGGACACGCATTGCATAATATGTAATACTCCATCACTATGAAAGGAGACTTGACTTAATTAATTATCACGGCTTCACAAAGATGAAGAGCTTCTGGCCCATTTGGCAGTGTTTGCCGTGGGCCTTGCCGCAAATGTACCACTTCCTCCCTGGTGACGTCAGCTTTATGACGTCGTATCCGCTCGTCAGAGCCTCGGTCGCCTGAGGTACCTTGCAATAATTGAATTCCGGCCCGCTCACCTTGTAGACGTTGTGATATCCGCGTGGGTACTTGAACACTGTAATTATATCATGTCATAGGAACATTTATACAATCAAGAAAGAAAAATACTTTTGCTAAGATTATTTACTTGATGTAGTATATAATTTCAAATATCTAGATATAAGTTTTTTGTGTCATCACATCACAAAAACAAAAGAAAACTGTATCCTAGAAGAGCTGTTTGGCAAAATTTTGAACCGGATTGGACCTTAATCTAGAATGGTTCCGAACCAAGAGAAAGTGGTCCAAAACTAAACTGGTTTATGGCAAGAACAATTTAAGAGGGACTTGCCAATATCATGAAGTTGCAGTTCTTGAAAACATCTAATTAAAAACTAACTGACAAACACTTACTCGGAGGTTGTATGTGTTAATAAGGTAGTTACACATCCATACTGTAGGGGTGATAAATTGCAAAAAAAAATAAATTAAAAAAAACCATATTTATGGTCTTGTGTAGAACTCATTACCGCTCAACTTGTTTCCTAGCACTTATCAGCCTACAACTTTTTTTTGGGTGGGGTAGGGTGGGGGGATTTCTATCTATGTCATATCCTCCTCAACAATGCCAAACTCTAGAAATGATAACTGCTAATAAACTGGGTTAATTATAAGGAAAAATTTTACTAGATATATGATAACATAAGCATATGACCATTTGTGAAAGTCGTAGAGTTTGATGAAAATATATGTACCGAGTTTGTCTCCGACATAAAAGTGACGACCCTTAGCCCAAGCCGCGTAGTCGAAGTTGAGGGCCCAACCGTAGTGATCACCTACAAAATGGGTCGTCGTTGCTCGAGCCAAAGATGGAAGAGTAACAAAGGCCAAAACAATGGCGGAAATGAATTGAACAAGAGCCATAGATTAATGTTGCCCCCCTCTCCTTTTAGTTATTAATTAGCTAGCTATATTCTTGTAGAAGAATATTGAGTGCATGTTTCATATAGTCGGAGTCTGCATTTATAGGCTTATTATCCTTATGAGCAATGCCACTAAGAATTAATGTTGGCCGGCGATATGCCATAAAAAATTAATAACAACAAGATGCGGGTGGTAACGGTAAGGATCGGAAAGGGTTTTGAATGACGACTTGGACTCCAATAATTGGGGTAAAAAAAATAATCCTAAATAGGAATCCATTGTAGAATCCTAGGGGAAAAACCCTATGAGAAAGGAGAACGCGGAAATTGTTTAGTACAGATCTTAAAGATGCTAATTGTGATGATAAAGTCTAACTTCACTAATAAACATCACCTCAGAACCAACCGTATGCGAGAAAGAGGTTCTGCTCCACACAATCAGGGGTGCAGTTACAAAATTGCCATCATTTTAATCACTTGACGGAGCAGATATGCCTCTCGCTTGCACTCGATTCTAACCAAAACCGAACTTTCAATAATACATTATTAATGATTTCACTAGTAGTGTAGACTGATTGTTGTTTTAGAATTGATAATTAGACATGATACAACCTTCTTCCTCGTATGATTTCTATAGAGTCATATGTAGGATTTTTTTTAACCCCTAAATCATGCCAAACCAATAAAAAAAGATGGATCCAACCAGTTGCGATACATATCTTTGAAAAAATAATTTGAAGTTAGATGATTACGGACCACCGATTTTAAGATTT